CATTGTTATATAGATAGAGTTTTTATAATATAATGTTTTTATAACATTTATAGAGTTTTTATAATACACCATTACCTGTTTTGCTTTTTAACCGATAATATCATCACATAATATAATCAGAAGTGTTAAGTGTCATATGGTATAAAGTTGACATTTGTTGCAGGAAGTATGCGCAGTAGGCGACAAATTAGCAAAAAATTTCTTGGTTTACAATAATTGGAATTTAGAAGCTGCAGTTCAGCATTTCTTCCATGTAAGTCCAAACTCACTTTCGTTTACTGTCAAAATGGGAAATTTGTCTTCAAGTTACTTTTGGGATTCTGTAGTTCCAGATTCGAAATTCTTCAGAGCAAAATTTCATACTTTTTTGGTCGGTATGTAAAACAGATTTGTTTTGACAATAGATTAACCGATCCATTAAGCTTATTTTTTACTTATTGCGCTAACCTTATGTTTTTTTTTGCCTTCCATTATATACGACCATATCGTTTCCAGACTAATGGACGATTAGAAGAGGAAGAAGAACAAAATGCATCAAACACAGCGAACGAGTTGAGACATAGATATATACAACTAAATGAACCATCATCTTCACAGTAAGTCCTTTTGTTCGAGCTTTTAAATGAATGATAATATTTCCTGAATTACTAAATTGAATAATAATATTTCAAAAGAATTAATCACACTAAATTATGTCATTAACCAGTAAATGTTAGAAATATGTTTGATAGAGAGTTTTCTGTTAGCTTTTAATTTTTTAGAACAGCAAATCGACAGTCATCTTCTCCTCCTCCAAAAGTATCGTTGAGGAGGCGTTCTCCAGCTCCACAAACTTGGTTTGAATGGACCTTTGCGGTCATCAAACTTCCATTCTTCATTGCTTACCAAAGTTTATTCGAGCTTGTCAATTTCTTATGTACGTTATCAAAAGTTTTCTTCATTTTGCAGAGTTTAAAAGTTCTGTTTATTTAGAATAATAAATATTGAATGATGCTAATGCATGAAGCTCAGGTCTAATGTTCTATACCGTGTCCTGTTTATGAGAAGAATACGGAGACACATGTTTTCAATTATTGAGTAATAGAAAGCGAGATAGATTTCTTAATTATTTTAATTAAGGGTCGTTATTCCGAGCACCGCCATTGGCAGTTGCTGATCCTAGAGGTGATGTACGACATTTTATCGACGAATTCAATGCTCATTTTGGCGATTCCAGTAATGGAATTCGCTTCTTCAATGGATCATATGATGATGTTAGTTATTATTAGTAAAGGATCAAAATGTTCTTCAATTTTGTTATTAATAATAGAATTTTTATATCAGAAATTCTCAATTTAACAGCTAAGAATGTATAACATGCATACTGAATAGCTCGCTTCTGGCCTCTACAAAGCCACTGACTTCAAAATTGTAGGGATTTCTATCGTCAACTCTTGGGAAACGACTGGCATTTTCTACTTCTTTTCAGGCTATAAACGAGTGCAAAAATTCATTACGTTTCATGATTGTTTATTTGCACAATCCGTCACATGAATCTTGTGAACGTTTTGTTCGCGAAACATTACTTACTTATCAAATGAAACAATTTCTGGATCGGAATGAAATTCTGTTATGGGGAGTATCTGTGCGCAGTCAGGAAGGTTATAAAGGTAATATAAAACGCGTTTTTCCTGATATACAGAAGTATTTTCTCAGTGATTTTAAAATTTTCTTGACCTGATACTTTTCACTTTGAACAGTTAGTGCTAGTATGAATGTTGCTGTTGAGGAAAGAAAGATTTTTACCCTATAATTTTCATAAAGCGGTTTGTGACACTTCAGATGATATTTCATCGCTTAAATTTTTTCCTATTATTCTTACCAGTTCTGATTTTACAGTATCAATGGCTCTTCGGGAGAATACATATCCATTTCTCGGGCTACTTTGTATGCGTGAAACACGAATGGTTGTAGTAAGTTTAAAAAGTCTTTGAAGCAGTTGAAGATGCTTTTACTACTTGTCCTATATTATTTTATAGAAAATACTTTTATGATGAGCGCATTCGATTCAAAGAGTATATGAATAGTTATATTGATAGGATAAATTTGTGCTTGCAAATCCATTCGTTTATTTTTTAGTCACAGTAGTTTCAGATTAGTCGTGTAATCTTGTATTTACAGTTAGTTTCACATCAATTTCCTATTTATTACTCCATAGGTATTGCGAATGGAAGGCGAATATGAACTTGAGCCAATGCTTTTCACAATTCAAACGGCTATAGATGAAAATCGTAGCTATTTGGATGCTATAAGAAATGAAAGGTATAATCTATCTATTTGTAGTTTCAGGTTAGTCGTATGTTTGCAGTTTCACACCAATTTCCGACCCGTTGCTACTTTGAATTTTTCTTTAATAAACTCCCGAAAGCGAAATTCATCGTTCTAGACATCAGCGTGAAGTGAATAATCGCATTTTGCGTGAGCAGGAATCGGATTATCAACGTAGTTTGGCAGCTGATCGAGCACGTCTAAATGAGAGGAAACGAGCTGAGAGCGAGCGAAAAATGGCTGAAATAAAGGAGGCGGAAGAGGAAAAGAAAAAACAGGAGAAGAAAGAAGTAATTTTATTTCATTTTCAATATATCATTAGCTATAGGTCTTTACAACAAATCTTAAGAAATCTTCGATTTTCGATACTATTTCTTTAAGTATGGCACAAACGCAAATAAAAGTGCCAACAAAAATAATTTCAGTATTACTTAGTAGTTTTTCTGTTCAACTTTGTATTAATTACTGTACTGTACTTACTTTTAGGCACAATTTTATCATAGTAATTATCCGTAAACTTCATACGTTGCTATCATTCAGAAATTAAACTCTATAAGAATGAAATTGGCGAGCGAATTACCACCAGAGTCGCAAGCATCTAACTGTATTCGAGTAAGTGTACGATTTCCCAATGGTGAACGCTTTGAAAGGCGGTTTGATGTTACAAACAGTCTTGAGGTTAGTTTTTTTGCATTCTTTCATCGGACTTCTTTGCTCATTTATATAATGTTGCACAAATTGTGCTTTGTATAAATTTTGAATAATTTCAATGCTGCCGAGGAAGGTAATTCATCGAATTACGTGTCTGATGATTAATTCGTTGATAATTTATCTGATAATGATAACATCGGCTAATATACATGATTCGAATTAAGTCGACTGTCTTTTGGAATATACCAATCATCCATCATTACTCATATTAGTGACAAACAAATTATAATTATTATTTTCTTCACTAGTGAGCTAAGCCGTTATTTTTATTTTCGGTGAGGACCTATATTGAGGATTGATATTGATTTACTGATTTACTGCTTAATTACAGGGGGACTTCTTTTAATGCGTGTGTGTGATGAGTTTTCTTACTTTGTTTATAGATGTTTATTTATTTATTTATAGATGTATATTTATTTATTTTATAGATGTTATTTATTTATAGATGTTATTCAACGCAACCTTGGCTCACGAGAATTGTCCGCCGAATCTTACGCTGCTATCAAGTTACCCCAGAAAGCAACTCAATTGTGCACCCGAATGGTATCGTGAATTTGGAATAGTGCAGGACCCAACTAATATTCCAACGTTTCAGGATTGTGGTTTCGAAAAGTCAGTGGTTGTTTTAGTGCAAGATAATGACGCATAGGTACTGACGTTTATTCACCTCAATTTTTTTTTTGGTTTAAATAATAGTTTGTGTGCTATTTTACCCAAGCTCTTTCCGTCTTTTCAAAATAAGTATGTGAATGTGTGAAATTTAAATTACATCTAATGATTCTTTAAATAAATTGTTTCTATTTTTTGAATCGTTAGATTTGGGATACAAAACATCCCACGAGTGGTCGATTTTAATAAAGGTTTCTAAATATTAACCGGTGTTGAACATAGTTCGGATATGTATTAAATATGTCCATAAACTGATGAACCTTAATAGTATCAATGAAGTTTCTTGTATTTTTCTAATCGATTAGTGCGGTATATATTTTTTTCTGAAGTGATTTTCAATTAATATGACTGAAAATTTTGCAGATTATTGATTAAGATGAGTAATTATTGACAGAATTGTACTGAAGTCGATTACTTATTGTGACCCATTATTTTTGGACCTTTTCATTGTTATGTGGTTTTGTTGCTCCATTAAAACTTTTTCTTGTTTTGGCTTGTAACAAATTTCTATGCGGAATTAGAGGTAATTTTTTAAGGATGATCTGATGCACGAGAGAAAAAACTGAGAGTTTGTTTACCAGAAAACTAGGTAGTCGTTCCTAATCTCAGTTGAAAATTGAATGTTCGACTCACTAAAGTAGCTATTAGTTAATCCTGCCTCCTTTATCCCACATCATGCCGAGATGCGCATTTTTACATGTCATTCAACCAGAAGAAGTTTTATTTACCAGGAAAATATGCATTTGATGAGGTGCACTATGTGAAATCAAACTATATGGACGAGTCAGCGTGTGCATCGTGGTACAACAGAGGAATGGAATGTGAGCATTACACAAATATAAAGGTATCCATAAAAAAGCTTATTTTTAATTACAATTGTATCATTTACTTGAACTTATTGAATTTTTTGAAAGATAATTTAAGAATTGAGAAGTGAGGGGTGAGCTTCAAAAAATGCTTTCAAAGATGGTAAGTACCGGACGAATCAAACATTTTCAGATTTATGCATGGTTTTTAGAATCCAAAGCAAGAATGAGATGAAAGACTTTGTCGGTTAAATGCCTTCTCGATTAGTTCAAGTTTTTTTCAACTTATCATAAGGGTACTTGAGATATTAGTTAAAAAAGTTTAGATTTTCTTCATCTAAAGATTTTTGTTCTCTTATATGGGATAATTTTGAAGATGAAGCAAATATGCCAATTTACAACATATATATATATATATATACATATGTATATATATATCATGATGAAATTAGTAAAATTAAAAGGGAATTAGAGGAAGAGATATAGTTCACATACAAAATATACAAATTATGTCAGAAGTTCTGGCAATTTATTAGCTAGTAATTCTGTGGTGAGTGGCTTTAAATCCATATCCATTAAGCTTTCCACATATGAATTTGTTGCCTCATATACGGACCAAAGGACCGATAACGCGTGACCGAAACGTACTGGGCCATGTTTTTCATGTCTGCAAGTACCATTTGGATTTTAAAATTCATTGTAAATCAAGCAGGAAACTTTCCTTAAGGCATTTTCAAGATTCAAGCAAAAAAAGTAAAAGAATACTTGGACATCATATAATTAAATAAAGTATCCAGAATTAGTTGCCGTTGATTTGACAGTTGCCTGTAGCTGTTTGGTGATAAACCGGAACATTCTGGAAATATTATAAAATTAATTTGAATAAGAATTTGTTGAGGCAAAATTAGCTACCTCCTTACATAATTTTCAGATAATATTAGGAAAAATTTATGCAAAGAAGTAAAAAAATTGGACAGTTGTAATTGTGATACTTTAAACTGTACTTTGATAATGGCTGAAAAAATTTGAATTAAGTTTAAGCCATCATTATTAACCCTAAAACTTACCAGAATGCATAAAAGCAATTGCTTTGAGCAACAAAAACTCCTTCTTATCCAGTTTTGCTCTGTTAAAACTTTCTATTATCACCAACATCCCAATGTTCTCCTCGATCGACCTAATCAATTAACATATAAAAGAAGAATAGTTGTATTCTATCTAATCTGAAAATCCTGTTTTCAATTTTTTATTTTGATGAAACTAAGAAAGATAAAGTGAGAAGAAATCGTACTGTCTTTCTCGTTGATTTTTTTGATTCAAGACAGACGCACTTTTTGAAGTAGACCTTTTATAAGCAGTTTCCAATAAGATCAGTACGAATATAACGTCACGTAGTAGTAATATCTGTAACAAAAAAGTAAACAAATTAATATCTGTAACAAAAAAGTAAACAGCAAAGAAATTATCGAAACAGTTTTTATCACATTATAAATTCAGATTAAATTGAAGGGAACCTTATCCTGAATTGGCATCCATTGGAAAGATTCGAATGTTTTCGCATATTCTACAGTAACCTCGAGCTTCTGGTTCAGTATCGCTCCTGGACTATTGTTACACTGTTTCTGTTGCTAAATGATCATATATTGTTCCAGAGTAAACAATTTGATTAGCTGTATAGTTTGAAAAGAAAAAATTAAATGAAAAGATTTTTAGGGAAGATTCGTCAATTAATTGAACTGATAGGAGAGTTCAGGAAGAGGGATTCATTAAGCGCGAGTTATCAAAAATGCTTCGAGAATTTCTGCAAGATTTATAATTGTACTTAAAAATTTATATTTAGGAAGTTCAGATATCCAGCAAACAACAATGTTTACTCATTTTAACAATTCTTTTGACGACATTTATATTAATCTGAATTGTAGTATTTTAAACCTTACTTTATCATCAACACTGTTAAACGGAAATGCAGCTGATACAATTGATGGTCGTGTTAGCAAGTCAAGAATGGAAATGGAAGTGTCACATTTTTCCGGATCTAATACTTCATTGATAATCTCTTGTGCACGAAGAAGGTGTGAAATCAGCTGCAAAAGGGAACATTTTTTTCAGTAAAAATTTCCAGCTATTATATAGCAATTTTTTAACGTGAACATCTGGAAATGAATTTAAAGATTAAATTAAAATTCATTTATTAATACTCGAAAAGAATTTTTTTTAAATCAAATTCAAAAGCAACTAATTAACTCGTTCATGCTTCTCAGAGATTGAGCAATGCTTTCGAATAGTATCACGAATGCTAGAGGTAATATTAGCGTTCGATGATTGTGTTCTATTCACCTTTGAACATCTGAATCTGTAAATAACAAAAAATTCATCTTTTAAATCAATATTTGAGAGTTAGAAGTAATATAAAATAACTTACCTTCATCTATCACTTATTATCTTTTCTTCTTTTTCCTTTTACTATTCATATTTTTTCCGTGTCGTTTCTTATTATCCATTTTATCACCTATTCTTTCATTATCACTTACCAATCCTTCCACTCTGTTTTAATTAAGAGAAAATTTATACCAGAACTTATGTATAATACTCCATCTCGTGGTACCAAACTATAAACTCTAAAATTTTGATAACTATATTTTGATCTTTAAGATTAATTGAAGATGAGGGTTACAGTCTTTCGCAAATTGTAAATGTTTAAAAAAAAAATCCACTTGTACCAAGTACTGCCTGCAATTCATTTCGGCTATGAATTGAGATAACTTTTTTTACGAAATGGCGATAAATGATAAAACTTTCATGGTCTGATATATTCCAAAGTATTAAAAAAATATTCACCTAGAATTTTCATCTGCAGTCGATATGGTATCAGATTTTGGAAAATCAAGAAGCGCTGAAATGGTATAAGCTCGTTTCGATGCTGATTCACTGTCTGGACTTGCTGATGAACGTTTAAGATTGGAATCTGTCGTTTGAGGAAGTAAACAACATAGCTCTCTCTCCATACTACTTGAAGTAGAGAGCTGTTGTTGAGGTATATCAGATTCATAAGAAGCATATGATGAGGTAGATGGAGTTGGAGCTTCTTGAGGTGATGGCAAACGTCCACTACGATTATACTGAATTGCTAAAATGAAATATTTTTTGAACGAAAATTTGCAAAAGAAAGAAAAATATTAATCCAATTCTTATTAAATAATTCAATAACAACTATCAATGCTGAAAATAATAACTAAAAAGCTATTAGAAATGAATGACATTGTAAAAATTAGGAAAAAAGAACCTTTTGGATTCATACCGACAGCGACACATTTGTTAAATCTGCAAGCTCGACATGCACATCTCATATCTAAAGACAAAATTTGATTAGATTTAAAATAATTCAAAATCAAATTAGAATTTGAAGTATTATATATGATTATATATATATCTTTTGCTTGTAGTTATGATTCAAATCTTAATTAAAAAATTAGTTTGAATTTGGAAAAATGAATTCGCCAAAATTTTGTCAGAAAAAAATAAAGAATTAATTGAAAGTACAACAACACGTCCCAAATATTCAGCAAAATGACAAATTCTACTAAATACCGAACTTTTCAATGCCATCCATTTATTTGATCATTCATTTTCACCGATCAATTTGGACATTTTTAATCAAATTTTTTATGAAATTTTTGATTTTGAACAAATTCCTACTGATAAATAATCATAGTATGATTTAAATGATGGCTTTATCATGAATAGTTTAATGAAGTTTGCAAGATGACTGATAAAAATGATATGCAAAATATCCGGTTGATATTGATAATTCATCATATTTTAATGTACTTTTTCAACTGATATGAATGATAAAAAAAAGCACAAAATGAATAATCATGCCTTTATCAAATGTGCAGTTACCATTTTTGTGGCATTTATAAATTCGATTGGAGACCAAAGTACGCCGGAAGAATGTCTTACTGTAAAATCAATCCGATAAAATTTAATTTCAGTTAATTTTTAATTTATTAAAATGAGTCATAATTTAAAGCTATTTTTCTCACTCAAATATTGTTTATCATTCCGAAAAAAAAAGCATAAATTTGAAAATATTATGATCTGATTTAGACTTATGCTAATAATTAATATTGACCTCATTAATTTCAATTTAAATTTGCTTCTTGCAAATTATTTCTTTGATGTTTGCATATTTACAGCTAATTGTTTTTTTCGCTATGAATTTAAAACTCTGATATCATATTTTATTAATAATTCAAATTAAAATATTAAAGTTGTAATAATAATAATAATGTGTGATATTATGCAAGCGAATGAACTTGCAATAGAATCAAATTAAATTAATACTCATTTTATTGAATTAGCAAATAATAAGTTTACTGTGATTTCAATGATATTTAGGGGGAAATTATTAAGACAAAGAAGAATTTTTGTTTTAATTTATTAAGTAAGTAATTCATTAAATAATTAGCTATAAGAATTAATTGTAATTACTAAGAAAAAGATCAAAAGAAAGTTGAATTCTCATTTTTTAAATTTTAATTTGATACATCTTATGAGATTGAATAGATTTAATAAGAAATGAAAAATTGAAAATAATTTGCTAAAAAAAATGATAACCATCCATTGCAGCTAACAACTTCATAATGGAAACCAGTCGCTAAATCACCGCAAACAGCACAATGCTCAATCGTTTTGGTTGTTTCTACAATATATTCATTATCATTATCATCATCATCATCATTTATTATCATCATTATCATATCAAGGAGAGAGTGAAAATGATAAGTTCATAATAATATCATAGCATTTATATTTGCAAATTTTTGCTCTTTTTTTTTGTAATTTATTATCCTTTTACAACTGATAAAATAGTGATAAACTTAAAAAAGTATTCGATCGCTAATTTTTTGTTTCTTTTGTTTTACATCGTTATTGATTAAATTGAAATTATTGCATATTAAAATTTAATTAGCGTTGAAGTTGTGATTGATAAAATGTTCATTACTAGCGAATCAATCATTCTTCTACGATTGCATATCATTTTGTTATTGTCAAATTCATAAACAAATTATACGGAGAGGGAATAAATTGAAATATAAAATATATCCGAAATCAAAGAGAGAGAGAGAGAAAGAGAGAGAGAGAAAGAGTAAAGAATAACAAATGTGAAGAGCGTTCTATCAATGAATTCAATAATAAAGTGGTAACATTCTGGGAACGAGCAGCTGCTTGGTCAGAAGTGAATTGAATAAAGTTCACTAAGTAGGTGGACATTCTATGAGCGAAACTCTTTTATAGCCACTATTAAATGATATTTTGAATATAGTTTATTGATGTGTACTATGCATATGGGATGATGGATGAATGATGTGTATGTGTATTAGATGTCTGTGTATGTGTGTATGTATGTATATGTATATATGTATGTATGTAGAATGTCTGTGTATGTGTATTGTATACTACATATATCGCAAAATGCAAAAGTGATGGAAATAAAGCAAAAATGCCGAAGAATTACGACAAGCGTTACTACTGCTGCTATACTATTAATATTAGTACCATAATGGTGCTATGGTCGGTGAATATAAGAATGATTTGTAATAGCAAAGAAAATCAATAAACATAAATAGTGAAAAAGAGGAAGATACTTTGAAATGGACGACTTATAAAATTTCCGTTCCTTTGACAATCAACTCTCTTTCTCTCTCTTTCCTTCTTTCCACCTCTCTCTCTCTCTCTTCAGATATTGTATGATAATGTTCATGAAATGATTTCCCAAAGGAATGTTTACTCAAATATACTCAATGTAAATGATTCATATTGTAAATGCAATGAATGAAGTAAACAAAAAAAAGAATGAAATTAGAAAATTGAACAGGTAATATTTGCTAATAATATATTGTAATATATTAGAAAAGAGAGGGAGAGAGAGAGAGAGAGAGAGAAAGAGAGACAGAAGGTAATAAATAGAAAATATTAAAACATCAAAATATTATTCCAATTTTTCTCGGCTTATCTTTACTTACTACCAACCTTAAAATCAACCTTATGCTATTAATTATCGATTAATAAATAAATGCTTAGATAATAATACAAGAAAAATTAACAAATATATCCATCACTTCGATTAATATTATGTATAAATTATTTTCATTGAAATAAACAGGGAGGAAATGAAATGAACGATTGTTTTCTATCCAATTCAAAAAATAAAAAACTAATTATTGACACTTTTAGAAATTGTTTTAAAATGAAAAATTTGCATTGAATTGTTTTAATAATTATTGTTTGTTTCATTTCATCCAATACACACTTCAAAAAACAAAAGTAAACATTTGGAATAATTAAAATTTGAAATCTTCAAAAATAACCATTTTATCGTATCGCTTGCAATTATTCTACTTAAAGTTGTTAAAAACAAATAATGATTAGTATAAATTATAAAAGAGTGAAATTTGATTGCTTAAATAAATTCACATTTATATCATTTCAATCGTCTTTTTCCAGCCAGCGATTTTTCTTTTTTATGTAACACAAAATTGCTTGTGGAAGCCATTTGATTGTTTTTTCATTTTTACATTAAAATTAAACTAAGCCTATTAATAGCATTCTTATCATATGCAATTAACATTCCACAATTGCCACATTATTTATTTATTTATTTATATGAACTTAGGCAATAATTCATATCTATGAGAATATGTTGTCAGAGAGCCAATCTTCGAAAAGAATTGCAAAACGAGCAGATGAAAAAGAAAAATCAGAAATGTTGAAAATTACGACTATTTGTATTTCTCATGAAATAGAACAAAGTAACAGAAAGAAGGAAAGAAAAATTCAGATGTGAAAATATTCCGTGAAAAAAACAGCGTAACATTTCTCTGAATTGATATGATAATTGATAGATGAAAAAAAAACAAAAGAAAGATAAGAGATTGTCATTAAAGATAGGAAGAAGGGAATGAATGAACAGACAGCTTCTTCCGGTCTAAATTTAACATCATTCAGAATACATATCTATCTATTTATCTCTCTGAAGGAAGCATATAATAAGAACCAGTTTTTCCTCATTGATGAGCTATTTGTTTGTCAAAAATTTCCGATAAGTAATCGTTCAAATTTTTTTCCTTTTTAAAAACAATTTCCTTAAAGCATATATTTGCATGAGATTCTTTTTTGCATAAACGATATCATGAACTTTCTTTCTTGTATATTTGATTTTATTTGAAACGTGATATTATTTTTGTGAAATTTAGTAATAAAACAAAAGAAGAAATATCATGAATATTATAGCATAAAGAAGATAGGTAAATATGAGTAAATATGCGCTAAATATGTGATAAAAATGTATGATAAATATATGATATAGCTAAATATGTGACAGCTATTTTAGTTTTTAATGAAATTAAAAATAAACTAAATTTCAGGAATGAAGAATTGTAATTGATTCTGAAATTTTTAGCTTCTATTTTTTTCCTTTTATTATTTATCATTTCGTGATTACGGTTTATCATATTAACATACAGTTACGGTTCAACGATCTGATTAGTATGCTATCGGTTTTCTTCTTGATTCATTCCTACCATATGTTTTTATTGTACTCCAAAATAAATCATAATTTCTCATTTATTTAGGCTATTTTTTTAGTAAGTTTAATTCTAATGGTTAATCTTACTGTTTCGATTTTATCAATAATAATCAATAAAATAAAATATTATTTTTAGCTGATTTCATGAATTCTTCTGGATTACAACAAATTTTGAAGAGAAAAAGGAATGATCGAAAAATAAATAAAAACCGGAAAATAGCTAATTTGAGAAAGGATTAAAAAACATTGTAAAAAAAGAAACATACTATTATTGGATATATCTAATGATGATTTATCATTCTTTTGAAATTGTTTGAATGCCATCCTTTAACGAACATTCAGAGCTGGCGTAATTGATAATACCGATTAAATTGCTGAACTGAAAATGATCGGTGCTTAATGACACATTAATAGCTAATAGAAAATGCATGAATTAGCTGTAACGTCAACAAGTGCCAATGAACAAAGTTCAATTTATCAACAAGTTGTTAATTCACCATTACTACTAACCCTTTCAGTAAATAAACAATGATAGCGAATTTGTTTTGGATAAAGATTGTTAAATGAAAGATCAATGATCAGAGAAAGGTTGTATAAATCGTTAAGGTCACTTAAGTATTAAAGAGGTATATATATATATATATAACCTCTAGATTAAATGAAACTTTCACTCTTTTGGTAGCTTTTGAATTTACCCAAAAAGCCTTCTGAACCTCCCGATGATGTATTTAGTTGCACAACTTCTTTCGCCTCAATCATCTTCACGTTACTTTTACGTGATCTTAATTAGAAAATTACACATAACTTACTTATTAAGCATAACAATGAAATAGATAATGAAGGAAATAAAATTAGCTCAACTTTTCCAGCAAAAGATTTGAGCTATATAATATTGTTGGCTATGGGAAAACTTAAGCTCTGAGAGTAAGTAATCAATAAAATAAAAGGAAATAGAAAAGTGCAATTCATCTCTTTCATAGGATTATTATAGCTTTCCTATCCCAAGATTTCACCTTTTAGAACGATGATGGCTTAGTAGAAAGAGGAAGTGCATAGTAAAGACGGATAAACTAGTTTCCACCCGGAACTCATCCCCGCAATATTAAAATTGCGAAATAACTTCATTTATGAATATATGTGATCAAAATGGTACTCACTTGAAAATTCTCAAATTTTTGACTCACATTATAACTATCTAAATGATTGTATATTATTTCAAATTCCTAAATGATGATGATATTATTTTTTATTTAAATAGTTATGAATAAATTAATACCAAAATTACACATTCACAGATTTTTTTTGATATAGGGCATGGGAGTTTTCCCTTCAATAGTCTTTTTGGATATAAATTAAATATGTAATTTCATTTATGATCCAATCATTTCAAATGTAAATTAGGATTTAAAATATATCAGTTGATATAAAAGGACAGGAATATTTAAGTGTTATTTAGCAGGAACTTCCCGTGAGAATTTGATTTGGAAATACAGTTCTAATAAATGACAAATATATTTGAATAGCGTTGAAACGCGATGAAATTTAAATAAACTGAAGTGATGCCCCATATTGAATTATCGGCAATTTAATGATGGATAGATTAAATGAACTGGTTTGAAATAGATCAATCTTTTTCAATGAATGTACCACGTAATTTCAACTATCACTAAAGTGCTTTAAATGAAGCAGGCAATTTAGTTGTGATAAATATTATATTATTATAAATTCCAGAAAGAATTAATCCGGTAGAAAGAACAAAATAGAAGATAGAAATGTAATTAGTAAAGAAAAATTAATAGTAAATTAGAATGATATTCAATGATTAACTCTCTTATTCTTCTCGTATCCGAACCGATTTTATCCTAATATAATCATTAATTTCAACCTTTCTGTATCTTTAATTATTTGCTTGTATATCGGTATGTCTAAGCGTGAGTCACCCTTAGCTGGTATGCATTTGTATCTTAGCTGATATATGCTAAGAAAGTATGCAAAAGAATTTGTTGTTATGAGGAGGAAGTATTTGTCTAACAGATGTGTGGTAACAAAAATACCACACATCTGTTAGGTAGACAGACACTTTGTGAATAAACGTTACTAAATCTTTCATAAATGATTAATCACTGATCAAATCAATAATTTAAAGATTTCAAAAATCTCATCGAT